GTGATCTAATCCTATATAATAAAAGGCTAATATGCAAATTGTTTCCTTGGGAGTTCAACTGCTCGCTATGACATGCGCTGACCACCAGGGGGCAGCGTGGAAAGAAAGGAAGGCCCCAGCTGGCGGCTGGCAGCTGGGGAAGGAAGGCCCCGATCGGCCCTGATCTCTGGCCAGGCCTAGGGACCCAACCCATTCATGAATTTTGTGTTACTGGGCCACTAGTTTATTCTATAAAGAGTCCAGTAACCAAGTGGTAAAAAGGCAAACATCCTGCCAGGGCCTCAATAGCCGACATATGGGACACTAAGGAAAGGTGCCCTCTTCAGGTGGGCATCGCTCTTGCAGGTGCGTATCTTAGTAAGGGGATCCTGACTGGATTTCGGCCCCTTCTGTCCCTTTGCCTAGGAGTCCGTGTGCAGGGCATAGCATGCATAACCGTACACAGTGAGCGTGCCCGCTGAGAAAGGAAAATCTTGGAATTCCTGAGGCTGTTTGCCCAGACCCAGAACTTGAATGCCATGTACAAAGTCAGGATATATCCATTCTGCCAGAATCTTTTTTCATCGCTGACACCCGAGACGCTGGCACAATAATATTAATCATCTGACCTTTCAGAGGCAATTTCCTGATCTTAGCTGAGCAGCTCAGGCTAAATGCTACACCCAGCCCTATTTTTATATTGCCCAGATGGTGTGAATGGGTGTGTAGCTCAGGGTGCCCACTACACTGGGCTGCTTCCAGGAACTGTTTGTACCTTGGGTGTGACCACAGCTGTGGACAGGAGTGGAGGATGGAGGTGAAAGAATGGCAAGTGCCAAGTCAGTGCCTTTCCTAACTGAATAAAACGGATTTCACCAGTCACCGGTGAAATGCTGAGCCTTAGTTTAAATTGGGGGTTAGAGGAGTTCACGCTGGGTCACCCATAGAACAGCAGCCAAGGGCAGACTGAAAGGGTGTGACAGACGGAAAAAGGGAGGCCAGTTCTGAGAGAGCTCCTGATCCTACTGCACCAGCCCCAAGGTGGATCTGAGCGTGCCGTGTGGGGAAGACTTTGCAGGGAGAGACAGGCCATTTTTAGTTCTCTGCCTGCTGTGACTTGAAACTTATTTTGTTTCCTTAGAGATGAAGCGCATTTGCCCTGGCTGGTGTGGCTTAGTTGGTCGGGCGTCGTCCTGTGCACCAAATGATTGCCAGCTTGACTCCGAGTCAAGGCACAGGCCCGGGCTGAGGGTTCTTTCCGCAGGGGGAGATGTGCAGGATCGATTGATGTTTCGCTGTCACATTGATGTTTCCCTCTCTCTCCCTCTACCTTCCTCTCTCTCTAAAAAAAAAATCATTTAAAAAACAAAAACAAAAAACACTTGATGGTTAGCAAAGAGGACAAACGGGACTTAAGAGAAGAGTAACCATAATTCCCAATATCTGTAGGCTTTCTGCAACTATGTACACTGGACTCTATCACCTTGAATCAGCTTCTCCTCTTCTGATTTCCCATATCTCCTGCCTAACATGACTTTCCTTCAGATAAAGTTTCTTCTTCCTTCCTCTTCCTTGGTCCATGTCTTTCTTTCAAACAGTTAGTTAACATTTACCACCACCACCACCCCCAAAAGCTTCTACACACATCCGAACTGCTTCCTTCTAGCCTTACAAATGTAGATGGTGGCTGGAACCCAAAGACAAACTTGTAGCTAAAACTGTGGCCTTGGGTCTAAGTTAGGAGTCGGAACTCCACGGCCTGCAGGCCAAACCCAGCCCATCACCTGCCTTTGAACAGCTCATGAGCTAAGAATGTTGTGTCATGTGAAAACTGTATGAAATTAAAATAGCAATACCCACTGGTGGAGGTTTATTGGAATACACATAAGCTCATTTGTTTGGTAATCTTGTCTGGCTCCTTTTACAATACAATGGCAGAGTTGCGTAACTACAAGACTGTATGGTCACAAAGCCTAAAATATTTACTATCTGGCCCTTTCCAGAAAAACAAACAAATAAACAAAAAAAAACTTGTCAGTTCCTAACCTAAGGCATTAAGCAAGTTAGAGATGTTAAATAAGAACATCTCAATGTAAAAAAAATTTCAGGCAAACCAAGGCAAAGGCTATCAAACAGCCACATGAAGGTCTAAACCCATAATTAAGGCTAAGTGGTTACCCTGAGAAACAGGATATTAAATAAAAGGGGGGGATATACAAAGTCTACACTCTACACTTGGTAAGTGTGGAGATAATAATGTCTTCAGGACCTAGCCCACTTCTTAGAACTGGGCAGGTGCTCATTAGTTATTAAATAAATGAGCAGGAAGGGCAGAGGAAGAAATATAAAACAACTGAAATAAAGGATGCACAGGGTTGAGAGTGAAAGAGGGTCCCCAATTACTGCCTCAAGTTTGTCTACCCTTGTGTTAATGTCACGAATTCCCAAGTTAGCAAACATTCACACTCTGGAAGCTAACATAGTGTATGCTAAGCGTGCACCCAAGAGACTAAAGAAATGACTAAATAACTATAGTAACTGCCATAACGCCCATTCAAGACCATCTTTTCCACCCCCTTTCTCAGCCACCAAACACTTATATATTTAGTCCAGAGAGTAAATTCAGACTTGGAGATTAGCGAGAGGAAGGAAATCAAATATAGAGCCCATGAAATAAACAGCACCATTTGTCACTGTTGATCTTTGATTAACTGGCTCTTCTTTCCGAAACAGGGCCTCTTCTCTCTCTCTCTCTCTCTCTCTCTCTCTCTCTCTCTCTCTCTCTCTCCTTGCAGGTGACACCCACACATATCCTTCAGTGTTGGCAGAGATGCTCACTCAGATAACAATTGGAGTTCATGCTGCACATTTTCATCTTCATGTGTCATCATCAACATGCAAAACCACAACTATAGGAAAACAGAGCTGTTTGCTGCTCTTCTGTCTCAACTGACATTTCCACCCAGCTCTCACAATCTGTTCTTTGGAGCCAGAGGAGTGTTTAAGTCTGCCGTTGAGATAGGTCTGCCAGATGAAATATATAAAGAACCCAATCCACCCCTATTTTAAAGTAAATTCACCTTGCTGTGACTTTTTGTCCCCTCAAATTCCCAGCACCCCAAAACCTTTCACGGAGTTGAAACTGGTGACTCTGACAGGGAACAGGGCTCGAGAAGCACACATTCTAGAGTGGCCTCAATAATAGGTCAGCTTGGAAAAGGTGATATATCCTTGGGTCACTCATATTTCATCCCAAGAGCCTTTCAAGTGTAGAGCCCAGTGCCCACGCCCTTAAATGAACAGAAGGCACACTGAGAAAGTGGGCCACATTCTGCTCTGGGCAGTGGTAAGTGCTGAGAGCCCATGAATGTTTGAAGGGAAAACACCAACCAGTTCCTTGGGGGTTATCAAATCAGAGAAAGTTGAGAGATCCACACCCTCAGATTCATTCCTGAAGAACTAAACTTCCTCTGAGCACCACTCTTAAAAAGTCAGGAGTTACCCAGTGCCTCTCCATTTTGGAGACACAAATAAGTTACCAAACAAGGTTTGGTATGGTTGCAAGATCGTCTCATTTGTGGTTGCTTAATGTGGTGGTCAGGCACCATTATGATGGATCCAGAAGTTCTTGGATTTTTCTCACTCATCCATTATCTGTTCCACACCAGATGAGAGAGGAGAGAAGGTACTGCTTTAGAAGCAATCAATCTGTTTTCTCAGGCTGGAGAGGGGGGAAAGTAGATTCAGGGCTGCAGGAAATTACATATTTACATAGTCGTGTAGTTAGAACATAGTAGGAGGTCTGTTAGGTAAACTCATGAAGTTTGCATTTTATTTCATTTTGAACTTGAGTTTCAAGGTACTGGAACCTTTTTACAGAAGCAGTTTGTATTATTTTTATTATTCCAATAAAGGAGTGCTTATTGAACAGATTCGTTTAATAGCCGATTTTTACCAAGGTTGTCCCTTTTCAATTGATTAGATCTGTCCTATTGAACTCATGAGTAGCTGAGTTCAGTCTTTCTTGGATTGGGAAACATATAGGCTCACCTTTTTTAAAGTTTAATGAGCTCCATTTGAACAAAGAAAAAAGCAAGTATGGAGATGAGCTCATTGTACACGCATTTGACTTCAGGCCATCCTCAAAACACAATGTGTATGAAATAAATAGGAGCTCCTACAGGAATTATCAGACCAGCCCTTATGTCTCTTGAGGGCCTTCTCCTACCCATTAGATTATATCAGTGTGTGTGTGTGTGTGTGTGTGTGTGTGTGTGTAATGATTAACATGTCTGATTTGAATGTTCAACTTGTTCCAAGAGCCACAATTTTGTTTGTTGTTTTTCTTTTATTTTTAAACTATTGCAAGCCATTAGAGTGTTCCGTTATGACATGAGCATGGCAGATGAAGCAGCTGAAATTGTCTGTCCCGAGCTTTCCCATCTTTGAGCTCTTTTTGAATCACAGCCAGGCAAGGCATTTATAGAATTTGTTGAGACAAAAATCACTCCATAGAAAAGAGCAGCAGTTCGGTAGTAGTACAGGATTTTAACTACAAAGGCAACGTTTTTAGAAGTCTTAGGCGAAAGGCATGTTTAAAACGTTGTCAACACTCCATGAAGAGGAGATTTGGGGACTTCAATGGGAAATCAACTTAACTCTTGACTGTGGCTTATTTAGCATGGCTTTTTAAGATGATTCTAACAGTCTTGTTTTTAGTCACTGCACATAAATTTCTAAAATATAAATTAACCTTATATCCATCAAGTTTTCTTTTGCCATGTTTAATTGTACATATTTTACCTCCTATTTCACTAAAACAACTGGATCTTTGAACTTATTAATAGGAAAGTGGAAAACAGAACTGCTTCTCTCCATCTCAGAGTGTGATTGGTACATTTAGATTACCCATTAATTCATTAGGGTGTGTGAGAATCATTCAGTCAGTCAATAAATGCTTATTGCATGCCAGGCACTGGGGACATGGCAACAAACAAAGCAAAGTTCCATCCCTCATGGAATTTGCATTCTAGTTTGGAGAAACAAACAATAAATAAGTAAAAAATCTAGTGTAAGAGATGGTGGGGGTGAAAAAACAAGCAAGGAAAGCAGGTAGAGTTTGGGGGAAATTCACTAGGACAGAAGGTGATGCCTGAGCAGGGACCTGAAAGAAATGGGGGAACAAGCCAGGTAGATAACTAGAGAAGAACATTCTAGAAGGAAAAAAAAAATATGGTTAAGGCTCTAAAGAGGGAACACGTCTGCTATTGAGGAGCAATCTGTCAGAAAGTATTCATTTACCTAGAGAAGAGAGATTCACTTCACAGAGATGTAAACTATTGTTTTGATGAGAAACTGTAACTGAAGCCAAGGTAGAAGTATACCTTGCTTGAAGTGAAAATATTTGAAAGTCTGGATTTTTTTTTAAAAAAAGGCTAAAATTAAAGATTTATGAAAAGGATTGAGCCCACATTTTAAAAAACATAGGAAGTTTTCTCTAGTTTTGTTGCCAAAAGTGAAGCATCTCTGCTCTGAACGTCAACACTACAGCACAAATTAAAAAGCAGGCGCGTGATAGTTCAGTAATTTTATCACTGAATACACAGAACATAATGTACACTTGGCCTCTTTAATTTGGCATACTCAGCCCAAAATAAAGAAGCTCATAATAAAAAAAAAACTTATAGAAATACCAAGTATAAAACTTTTAGAATAAAAGCAGCAAAGGACATTGTTTTCTTCATGAGTACCATATCTGAAACCGTAAATGCATGGCTCCAACCACTGTTTTTCAACCATTTCTTGGTTCACACTAATAGTGAAAAAGGACTTCCCTGTTAACACTTCTACTTTGGTTCTGTTCAAAGTGAGTAAGAAAAATCTAAAGTGTGATTCATCTTTAGTAAACCTGTTTTTCCCATCAGAAAATAAAACTGGGTATTGCCAAAGATCAAATCTTTCCATTTTTATTTTTTATTTATTTATGTTTTGCCATTGCCCTTTCCACAAATTCTACAGCTCTGTCATCTTCAAATCCAGTCTGATAACTTAGATTGCAGATCTCTGTGTGCCAAGAGACTGGCCATGGGAGATAGCTGCCAACTTAAATTCAACTGTTCTTGGTCACTCAAAGACTGCTGGGTTTGGCCTTCTTTAGATCAATTAAATTAATGGAAAAGGAGCCCACTTAAAAATCAACTAAAATACAATATTTTCTGTCTGGAATCATAATATTCTTATCTCTCCCCACAACACAAAAAAACTAAAGAAGCCTCTTTCTATACATAAAAGTGAGAGGTGGAACCCTGTACATTTTTTTCATTACGAGCCAAAATAATCTGAAACAGGATAATTGTGGGAGTTAAGAGGCTCTCAAATTTTATAGCACCTCATTCCTGGATAATGGGTTTAAATTTGTTATAATATTCTCTCCCTTCTAAGGTCATTGCCCAGTTTAATTTTTACACATAAGTTATCTCTATGGCAATAATAATAATAGCTAAAATTATATGCCAGGCATGGTACTAAGTGCCAGGAACAAGTAGAGAAAAAGACAAACTAGGGCAGTAATGGCGAACCTTTTGAGCTCGGCGTGTCAGCATTTTGAGAAACCCTAACTTATCTCTGGTGCCGTGTCACCTATAGAAATTTTTTGATCTTTGCAACCATAGTAAAACAAAGACTTATATTTTTGATATTTATTTTATATATTTAAATGCCATTTAACAAAGAAAAATCAACCAAAACAATGAGTTTGCATGTCACCTCTGACATGCATGTCATAGGTTTGCCATCCCTGAACTAGGACCATGTCCTCAAGGAAATTACACTATAGGGACTGACATTTGTGATCATTATCTCCATCTTATAGTTGAAGAACCAGAGTCTTAGAAAGATAGCAACACGCCTGAGGCCAACTAGCAATGGCACTTGAACCAGGTCTCTCTGCCTCTAAAACCTAGACTCCTCTAACATCTGAATCAATTGAAGCACTGAACAACTGTAAAGGCAGCAGTAGAGCCATTCTCTAATGTCCCCAGACATACTCCAGGTGACCCAAACTGGAGGTAGAAAAATGTCCATGGTCATTCCAGGGTCAGGCCTTACAGGGTATCTTGAGAACTTTGATGCTCCCTCAAAAGACATCCTCCAAAATACTTCTCCACGTCGATGGACCTCCAGGGTAAACTGGCACCTGAACCCACACTGTTATGGAGCTCTGAGCCCTAAAGCACTGAAGATCCTGTAAAGAGGCTTTCACGAGGGCTCCTTCTGCCTGCCCTCGTCTGGAAAATTGCCACCGGCCAGTCCCGCAGCACATGACAAGAATCCCGTCATTTCTTTCTATTCTCCTTTCTTCAGAAGAAGTTTCCTGGGGCTCATCCCCCACACCCCAGTGAAAGCTAACATCCCTTTTTCACAGTATCATCACGTCCCTATGGATGTGCGTTCAGCATTCCACTTCAGATCTCCATGCAGACAATAAAGAGACCAGCTCTGCAAACCTGGAATATATGGAACAGAGAAGCCCCTAGAGAAGTTGACTGGAATGTTCATAGTATTTAAATAATTTTGACATCAAGTGGCCTTATTTCCAAATATTTTCTTCCTTGGTGTGGAAAGACTACTTTATTTTTTTTTAAATCATATTGTGAAAATTACATTGAATTTCCATCACAGGGAATAAGGAAAGCAAGTCAGTTTAACTTGCATTGCTTTGAAGGTCTTCCATTGGTCAAAATGACTAAATATGACCAGAAATCATCAAAGATATTTCTAAACTACACATTTCTACATATTTCTAAACTAAAAGGAAAACAACATTAAATAGGAACTCAGTGGTTCATTTCATGAGTGAAAGACAGTGTTTTTGTGTTTTAAAAATGTTTAAATCTCTCTATCCTCCCCTCCCACTCTAACCTATCCCCACCCTAAACCCCCATTTAACCAAAAAGAATGATTTTCTAGCCTTTCTTCTCCATCTAAAAAGTTTTAGGCTCAGACAGTGTAGCTCAGTGATGGATCCTCGACCTAGAAACCAGAGGTCACAGTTCAATTCCCAGTCAGGGCACATGCTCAGGTTGTGGGCTTACTCCCCAGTTAGGGGGTATGCGGGAGGCAGCCAATCAATGATTCTCTCTCATCATTGATGTTTTTATCTCTCTCTCCCTCTCCCTTCCTCTCTCTAAAATCAATAAAAACATATTGAAAAATAAAGTAAAAAGTCCTTCAATTTCACACTGTACTTGACCGCCACGTGCAGAGGGGTAAGAAAGGAGTAAAACTGTAAGCAGATTTTAAGGCTAACAGAATTCACTCACTTTTTATGCTCTACCCTAGCCTCTCAATCAAGTCAATAACTATATAGGGAGTTTGAATTTTGGTCGTGACACTACAAGACTTAGTCTGCCATGCAAATATTTTTAAACTTCATTTCAGCTTCTCAAAGTGATGTCATTTGATCAAGTCGGTCAACAAAAATTGTCATTTGTGGCCCAACAGGGGCCGGAGGTGGCCGGCTGAAGACGAGGCGGTCCTTTCCTATCCAGAGCAGTGGTGTTGAGCAGGTGAAGAGGTGTCAGCCGGCTGGCTTCTGGATAGGGGTCCATGTCAGGAGCGGTAGGCCGCGAAGTCTCTTGATGGAGCATAGGGATGGTAGTGCCTGCGGGTGGGCCCCAGCCTCCGGGGGGTCATGTTCAAGTAGTCGCTCTGAAGGACCCTGTTCCTCTTACTCTTCATCTGCAGAAAAGAGAAGTGTCATTGTGAAGGGCCAGAGACATGGAGGGAGATGTCAGTTCTAAGACTTTGGAGGCAACTATTCAGACCATAGACTGTCACATGAAGCTGAACACCAGAATTCATTAAGCACCTTGGACTTGAATCATGACGAATCAAACCTAACTACTTTGGACTCTTCTAAATTAACTTGAAAAATCTGAATCAGGGAAGGTATCTTAGAGAAATGCACCCCTGTTATTCTCAAAGGAGTCATTTAACATTTCAAAAGTATATCTCATTTACATATCTGCTGTTGATATATAAATACTCTTGAAGGTCCTTCCTCTTTCCCAAAGGTTAAGCATCCCCACTGCAATCTTCTTACTTTAATCATTTGCTTAACAAGCTGTTTTTCCATAATTAACCAGAGAGGACCTTCAGCCTTCAGAGATTGGAGTAATCATAAATTTATAGCAGTGGATTCCAAATGGGAAGATCGTTCTAGGCAACTAGTTGTATTTCTGTTCCTTTATATGTATTTACATTTCCTGGTCCTCAGGCCCAGCCCCCTCTGGAAGAATTTCTATGAGGGGTGAGAAAAGTAAGATGATACTTAACCTGGAGCAAGAGATATTCTTCCATAAATCTTAGCAAAGTTTGGATTAAGGAGCATCTTCTCTGGATCAATAGGATGGTAAAATTTATGTATTTGAAAAAAAGACCCTCAAAATTCTAAAATTAGAAAGTCATCCAGATTTCTGGATTCAGAATTCTCTATTATGGAAAAAAAAATGCCTATTTCCTGGCACATAGGCCTGATGCATAAGTAGAAATGTTGGACATGAATGATATGAATTCCTGCTTAAATAAGTAAGCATGACTTCAGCTCTGGCCTTATTTCCTTACACTTCTACCTGAGCATTTCACACCTTCCTTGTCAAAGGGGCATGAGGAAGTATTAAGGAAAGGTTGGGAAAACACTGACCTCCACATTACTATATATGCGTAACATGTTTTCAGACCTCATTTTCTTGAACTCTCAGCAGCATTCTTTATTATTGATCATTCTCTCCCTTTTGAACCACTCTTCCACTTTGCCTTCCACGAGGTGGTACCATGGTCAGAGAGGCAGGTTTTCACACTGCCTCTCTGACCATGCTTTCTGGCCTCCTCTGCAAGCTCATCCTTTTCTAACTAGCCATTCAGTGTTAGAGTTACTCACAGCTTTGTTCCAAGCCTTCTCCTCTACTCACTCCATTCTCACTCTCCCTAGGCAATCTCATCAACATTCACAGCTTCAATTATCACCTCGTCACCCAAATTTATATCTCTAGACTAGAGTTCAAAGTCATTTTAAACTCAACACATCTAAAACAAGAGCCAGTTTGGCTCAGTGGATAGAGCATTGGCCTGCAGACTGAAGGGTCCCAGGTTTGATTCCAGTCAAGGGCATGTACCTCAGTTGCATGTTCCCCAGCCCTGGTCAGGGTGCTTGCAGGAGGCAACCAATCAATGTGTTTCTCTCACATAAATTGTTCTCTCTGTCTCTCCGTCTCCCTTCCACTCTCTCTAAAAGTCAATTGAAAAATAGCCTCAGTTGAGGATTAAACAAACAACAACAACAAAAAACCCAAGATCTTCCCCTAAACTCAGGTCCTCTCCGAGGATTTCTCATCTTAGTGAGTGACACTACATATATAGAGTTGCCCAAGCCAGACTCCTAAGCCTCATTCTTGCCTTGCCACCTCCAGCTCCTTATCCCCTGTCCTAGAGGACATTTGACAATGTCTGATGACATTTTGGGTTGTCACACCTGGGAGGAATGCTACTGGCATCTACTGGGTAAAGGCCAAAGATGCTGCTAAATATTCTACATTGCACAGGGCAGCCCCCAATGACAAAGAATCTTTCAGCCAAAAATGTTAATAGCTCCAAGACTGAGATGTTCTAATCTAGAATCTGGTCATGAAAAGAAACTGGCATGAAAAGGGAGCAATCGATACAAAACATATCATCAAATTAGCATGAGTATTGTGAGACTGCTTGACTCCTCCTTCTTGTTCATACCCAAAATGACTGAGGACTTGAGCCTGGGTGACTTAGAAGGATGGTGTTCCATCCATAGACATTAGGCAAGGCAGTAGGAAAAGTATATTTGAAAGAGGTTATAAATTCTGCTTTAGTCATTTGGGACTTGAGATGATGGATGGGTTATCTAGCTGGAACTAAGAAGAGGATAGTATTAAACACACATAATTGGAGGATTCGTTCACAGAGAGGTAGTCATGGAAACCAAGTGCAGGAGGGAAGCTGCTCTTCAAACAGCTTGATTCTATATCCTTTCTATAAAAGAAAGGCAGGAGTTTTCTTGGGCACAGGGTTACAGCAGGATAGGAATAAGGACATGAAAATGTCTGCTCCCAAATCAATGTGGAAGTGTAGAAGGCTCTGATGATGCCCTGGGAAGTATTTTAGTACTTATTCCAACCTTGAAGACTCCCCTTGCCAGATTCCCAAATGACAGTCTTTGTCTCCAGACACCCCAAAAAACTATAGCTGGTAGAGAAGGCCCAACAATGAAGATGTCTTGGTTTTGGGTTCTCCAGGTTCACACAAAGACTATGAAAGATCTGCTGCAATAACTCCCATGCTTACTCTCACACTGTTATCAGATGGTGGGTTTAGTCATTATCACCCTAATTTTAAACAACAGTAGGATGGAAATGACACATGCATGACTGAAAACACTATACAGAACCCACAGTGTCCATGTGCATCTAGCATTTGCATATATGTTTGCAGAGTACTCACCTGATGTATCTGTGTGACTAGGTCACCTCTCTGACCCTTCGCCATCCAATGTCTGCTAAAGGCATATGATTTCAGGACCCACCTACCTTGCCCTTCCCTTCCCTGCAGCCCTTACCCACTTGTTTCCTAGGAGCAGCAGCATGACACAAGGTAATTCGGTAAATAGAGGATTGAGTGAGAGTAACAGGTGCTAGTCTGTGGCAGCCTGGCCAAAGGGAACTCTTTATTTATTCAAATGTCAGCAATAGGTCAAGAACTGAGATAGAATCTGCAGCTGCTCCCAAAAACCCACTCAGCCTAGAACTGCCTACAGTAGCACGTCAAGCCCTCAGGAAGTTCCGGAAAACAGCAATTTATACCAAGGTACAGTGCAGACCAGCCAAAAATGGGATCCCAAAAAAGTACCCAGGAAATGGCTAAACTCTAAGGATCCCTAATGGCCTGGCTGCCTAGCTCAGCAAGGTGCTAGTTGCTTAAACAGTAACAGTTGCAAGAAAAGATGAGCCCAGGGTGAAAATGCTGTATTATTCTATGAAATATAGATAGATGTTACGGGGTAACCAAATTGACTATAAGAGGCCACAGATGATAAGATATACAAAACACTTTACTTTCCCAGTTTATAGGGATCCTGTAAGACAGAATAAGACAAAAATAAATTTTTTAAGACAAAGCAAGATGAATCCCACTGGGAATTGGTGGTACTGCCAAAGAAAAACCCATAGTAGACATGTTGTTTCCAAGTTGAAAGTAAACTGTAAAAACTCCTTAAAAACGAGAAGCTAATTTTGTCCCTTTGGTTAATAATCAGTACCCTTCTGGCCACAGAAAGTTAAAGCAGTTCCCAAAACTACTTCCTGCAAAGCTAGTAAATTACATTGACCTAGGTCAGCATATTAGAGGGGAGCACCTGTCCTGGAAAGGTACCCAAAAAGCCACTATACCTGGCTTTTAAATGAAGACATTGAGATTCCTGATGGGATCAGAAAAAAAAAGCACACCAAGAATTAAGAGTCTAAATTCTTAAATCATTAGCCAACACCACAGTGGTTCAAAGCTGGAAGGGACCTTAGATGAAGACACAAGGATCCAGAAAGATAAGGGACGCGGCTAACATCTGAGGAAGAACTTAGTCAATATTCCACTGCATAAAGGCCCCCATCAGGCTCAAGCCACTTGAAGAAGGCAAGGCTGACAGGCACATTCTCAAGGTGATATCTAGTATAAAGGATTTCCAGGAACAAGCAGCCACTTTGTTCCCTCCCCTGAAGAAGGTAGAGATTGGGCAACAGGCAGCATGACCAATGTTCAGAATACCCCAAGAATCTTCTAAAATGAGAGAAATATGTGGAGAACAATTGAGAGGTAAACTTTGGAAACAGACCAACAAGAGATTGACAACAGCCCAAGTTGTATCTATCATTGGTATTATTTGTGAACCCATGGCTGCCCAACTTGGCCCAACACCAAGACTGTAGGTAGTAAGTACAATGGCTACACATGGCATAGCTCCCAGAAATCTCTGACCCATGTATGGTTTAGTTAAATGAATGGAGTATGCCTTGAAGATGGGGGTTATACTTCAGACATGTTTATTTAAGTCCTTAATTTGGCTTCCATGGAGGTTATGAGGTTAAGCATCACTAAGTATTAAATGTACTTAATCCTAGATAGATGGCAAATATAAAGAGAAATAGTCCTTTATCCTTGAGGAGCATACATTTCTTGTTGAAGGAGCGAACGACTCATACATGCATATGACTTTTAGAAAACATTTCAAAGACAAAATGAAATCATTACATGATTATTCTATATAAGAATAATGTGTATATAAGAACAGGAAGTCCCCGAGTAAGGGAAAGATCCTTGATAAGGAGGTTCCCTTCTTAACAGTAGATATGATCATCATGATATCCTCAGACCTCAGCAAAAAATTCAATGCTGAAGTAGGTAAAAAAAAAAAAAAATACACCAAGTTTAGGCATGAAATTTGCAAAAACTGGTAAACTCCAAGTCAGTGATGAGAGCTCAGAAAAGTCTAATTCTCATTATAGTTTCATAATGACAGTACCATAGTTGGTCTCACAAAATTCAACTGTTTCTGAGGAGATAAAAATATGACTCAGAAAAACAGACCTAGTTTCTTTGCTAGGTTTGAATGCATAATTTCAATGGCCAAATTTCTCATGATTTTTTCACCCTGAGCCAAAGTTCTTTATTGATTTCAATTGTCTAGATTCCCAAGTTGCTTAGATTTTTATACATATGTACACATTAAAACTATTTTGGATGTCATAATGATACTGCAAATGGGGAGGGAAAAAAAGTAACTGCCCTTGGTACCCCACCCTTATTTAACATTTAGCTTTTTATTCTGTTTGGCCACCAAACCAGTGCCTTCTGGAAAATAGAATGCCCATCAGATTTGTATCCGAGAATAAGTTGGACAGGCTAAAAGAGAACCTACTTCAATCTCGCAAGGGAAAAGGAACTAATAAATATCACATGTTAAACAGAAAATAAACTACATAGGCAACATTCTTGAATATGATCAGATCGTATGTGGCAGAAAAGTTTACATAAAAGCAGTGCTGCTTCTCTTACCCAGTAAGTAAAAAGAGCCACTGTTACTAGCAAGCTATACAAAGCCAAGACTCCAACAACCACCACCAGTGCCCAAAATGGCTTAGAAGACTCAGGAGTTCGGTGAGCTGGACAATGATGATTCTCTGAAAAATAGAATAGAGTGCGTTAAATGACATGGGAGTGGCACTTGAGTACATTTCCTTCCTTCTGAACATTATGGAAGAATGTGAGAGGGACCAAAATATGCATAATATCACAAGCTTAGAATGTGTAGACTTCCTCTTTGGTCTATTCTCTTTGGGATTTATCCAATCCCACTATTCATCACGACCTAGTTTTCAAGGCTACCGTTGAAAACCATTACTTTAAAGTGGTACATTCATAGAGTTGCATGTTACCTTTCACATGGATAATGGTTCCATTGCTCTTCTCATTGTCTATGTAAGGAGGAGGATACATGACTTCTATTTTGCAGAAGTAAATATCCGTTTGGTTAACAAACAAATTCCAGAGGTAGAATGTCACTGTTTCGTTGCCCAATTTCCCATCACAGTGGAATCCTGTTTTTGAGCGAAACTGAAGCTGATGGGAGTAGTTGCCATTCACAACACAGACTTCCACAGCACTATCTGCTCCCTTATAAAGGGATGCCCGGAACTCCTTTGAAAAGAGGTTGAAGGTATACTTGCAGCTAAGGTTGACAGCATTGTTGTACACCACAAGCATGGGTGATTGCTTCACCAAAATCTTGTTTTCTGGAGGAGGAAAAATCATTTGTTTAGAACAGGATATAGAGACTTTTTTCTGAAATCAAAGTAAAGCAATTAACAAAATAAACAGATCTCCTACATGCATCTTGGGAAGGTGTCACGCCCTGAGCTAGACAAGACATATTAAGCAAACTACTGGAGTACATAGATGCTACAGAGTATAGTAACATTGTTTGTCTTCCCTTCCTCTCCCTTCAATTCCTCCTTCTCTCTGTGGGTGCCAGGAGAAGGAAATCAAACTGGGTAACCATCTAGGGTTTCTCTCCAACCTTACTCAGTTTCCCTGACCAGTCCTCCTTTTTAAAAATTTCTGCAAAGGAATCCTAGTCTCATCTTTTTTCTTATATCAGCTCTCAGAGTCAGATCAGAAAGAATTTGAATGCCCATTACAACAGAATCCAAATAATTAGTAACAGAAACACAGTTCCTGGAGGGCTCAGTAAACAGAAATACAAATATCTAACCCAAACTTCCTGTAAAGGAGGGAGATACTGGCATTTCTTGTTGGGGTTGATTCTTCCAATCAGAACCTGCCCAATGATTTCTTCTAAGTACACAAAAAAAGGCCAAGCAAAACAAAGCCACACAAAAAAACAAGTTGGATTTTCCTATCGAGACAGCTTGAACTTTTTTTATTTTTTACATGTGTACTTTTTAGTGCTCTTAGGGAGTATTTGTTGAATGAGTAATAAATGAAGCTAAACTTATTGTTGAGACACACATTTTGGATAAGGATTTAATGAGATGGCTGTTAAGCTTAGCTGCGGATGATACAGCCAGATCACCATCTTTCATTTATTGGTTATTTAATGAGATCCTATTATTTTCACAGCAGTATACAAAGAAATGTAACATGTGGTCCTTGCTCTGAAGAGGTTTGAAAACTAGGGATCTCAAGGAAATACAAATCAAAAGCTGAATGAATTGAAGCATATAAAAAACAAGGTGTTCAAAATGTAGAACCTGCTGTATTTTGAAAATCTAAAATAAACATAAATGAAAAGATTGAAGACTGATGGTTCATTGAGCACATTCATTTACCCTAAGAATATTATTATCTGTAATTTAAAAACTAGCAAAAACATATAAGCTGGAATTAAATAATTTTGTGGCACTATCATGAGTGAGTACTTAGAAATCAAGTGGTCTCATTGTCATTATATTAATGGCCATTATCTTAGCATAGCTTGTCGAAATATAGTTAATTTACAAAAGAAAATCTTTGAAAGCAATTAATTCCTGCAACTTTTCAGTTCAATTTTACAGACATGATACTTTCAACTAAGCAAGATTCTCAGAGAGTTGTAGTTTAACTGATCTTGGTAATACATAAAGTGGAAAATAACATTCTAGTATTTTCAAAATGGTGTTTTAAAAGATACAGTTGACCCTGGAACAATATGGGTTTGAACTATGCAGGTCCACTTATATGCTGTTTATATGCTGAGTTTTTAGATAAATACTGTAAATGTATTTTCCCTTCCTTATGGAATCTATAGGGTTCTCTATATACAATATCATGCCATCTGCAAATAATAACAGTTTTACTTCTTCCTTTCCAATTTGGATACCTTTTATTCTTTTTGTCTGATTGCTGGCCCCATAACATAAACTTGGGAGTTTTCCCTCCTCTTGAATTGTTGGGAATAGTTTGAGAAGGATAGGTGTTCTTCTAATGTTTGGTAAAATTCATCTGTGAAGCCATCCAGTCCAGGACTTATATGTGTTGGGAGATTTTTGATGACTACTTCAATTTCATTAGTTGTAATCTTTCTATTCAGATTTTCTGATTCCTTCTGATTCAGTTTTAGAAGATTGGGGTGTGTGTGTGTGTGTGTGTGTAATTTACCCATTTCATCCAGATTGTCCAATTTGTTGGCATAAACTAGTAGATGTTTGTAATCTTTTCTTAGCACTCTTTGTATTACTTTGATGTCAGTTGTTACTTCTCTATCATTTCTTATTTTATTTATTTGGGTCCTCTGTCTTTTTTTCTTGATGAGTCATGTTAGATGTTTATCAATCTTTTTTATCTTTTCAAAGAACCAGCTCTTGATTCCATTGATCTTTTCTTTCGTTCTTTCTTTCTTTCTTTCTTTTTCCTTTCTTTCTGTCTTTCCTCTATTTCATTTATTTCTGCTCTGATCTCTATTATTCCCTTTCTTCTACTCACTTTGGGCTTTGTTTATTGCTCTTTTTTTAATTCCTTTAAATTAAAGTTAAATTGTTTATTTGAGATTTTTCTTGTTTCTTGAGGTAGGCCTGCAATGCTATGAATTTCCCTCTTGGGACTGCTTTTGATGTGTCCCAATGATTTTGGGATTCTTGTATTCTCATTTGTTTCGAGGTATCTTTTGGTATCTTCCTTGATATCATTTTTCATCCATTCATTGTTTAGTGACATGTTATTTAGCCTCCATTTTTGTTGCTCTGATTGTGTATTTTCAGCTAGCTCTCTTCCATATTACTGATTCTATCTCCGGCTTCATCCAACTTACTGTTTATTCTGTCTAGTGTGTTCTTCATTTCAGATCTTGCATTCTTCATTTCTGGCTGGTTCTCTTTTTATGGTTTGTCTGTCCTTTTTATGCTTTCTATCTCTTCTTGAAGTTATCAGCAAGTTTCTTGAGCATCCTCATAGCCATTTTTTTGAACTCTATATCTGATAAATTGCTTGTTCATTTCATTTAGCTCTTTTTCTGAAGATTTCTACTATTCTTGTATTGGGGGCACATTTCTTTGTCTCCCCATTTTGATTTTCCCTCTTGTGAGTCTACCTAGGTCAGACCTACTAGGTTAAAAGAGAAACATTGTCAACCCATCTATTGTATTTGCTTATGGTGTCAAAAAATTGCCTTGACTGACATTTCTATAACTGAATTGACAAGTTGTTTTGATGATGAATTTAGTGCTTTGCTTTTCAAAGTCTTTCCTTCAGCTAAATCAGCTAAAGGTGTGGAGACAGGAAGCAGT